ATTGATTGGCTTGAAAATAATTAACCAATAGAATATGAGTTGTACCCTTTTGTCGCTAGTACATTGAATAAATAATTCTTTTTTGGAACATTAATCAAAACAGTATGAATATGTCAGGTGATTATTTTCAACCATTGAAAGATTAATCATCATGATGAAGATTTCCATCACTACCATGCCTATGTTATAGTTGACAAATGTATAAGATGCATGAATTCACACTACGCAAAATCTTGCTTTTAATAAAATTCATTCAAACTAAAAAAGAAAGCCCTCTGATAGAATCCAACAGCAAATTGAAGAGATTTTATTTACTCTTTCAAGACTATCAGGAATAATCTATTAATTAGATGATTGAAGTTTTCATCTCTATAAGTTGATTCAATTAAGTTATCCAAAAGTTAGTAATGTCAACGTTTCAATATTGAGACTTTCTTTTTACGTCGTGTATCAAATTTCGAAAACTCTACTTAGTCTAAGCAGCAATATAAACAATCGTGTCACTGCAGTAAAAACTATTCAGTCATAATTTTACATATTCTAAACGAATTTTTAAACAAAGAATATAAAGAATTTTAGTTTATTATACATTAGTTGATGCTGGTTGATGTATTGTAATTTACTTTGATATCAATTATATGTATATTTTATAACTTATAATTACAAAAATGAGAATTTTTTCTACTCACAAAGTTTACTTAGTACATGTAAACATGAAAAATATTTACTGTTTTAATACTATATCGAATATCTACATACAAACATAATATGTAAATCACAGCAAGAAAAGAATTTTCTATATTGTTTCTTATGACAACAGATGTATAAGATTTACTACTGAAGATTCTTTTGTATTTACTTTATAATTTTTTTGAAAATTTTGATTGTTTTTCTAATAGATTTCGTTTCTGTATATCCTAGATGTGTGCCCATTTAGTATTTGAGAATCATTTGTTGATTATATTTCTTGCCCATAGAATTATCATATCGTTGAAACAAAACAGTAAGAAATGATTATTTCAATTATTAGAAATTTCAATTTTAATGCCAAATTATGATATATTTTGTTTTACTAATGCAAAAATGACAGATATTTAGTTTTGGTTAGATAGACAAGAATTATTGAATAAAATTAAAATTAAACTATGATTCAATGTATTCATAGATTAATCTTATGGTGAACAGAAAAATATCATTAATGGCCAAACTATATAGCAATATTCTATAAATGATTGTTTTAGGTTTATCGAAGTATAGATTGATAATAAATCATACGTCAATTATTTACGATAAGTGGTATTTATTGATTTGTATGATTGTTACAATAATATAACTTTTCCGAATATCTTGATTGGATAAAATCTATTGAATTAGTCGAGTTCCATAAATATTCTCAAATTCTGAATGTGTTGTTGTAATCACTGTCGATTGAATCTTTCTTCAACATGCTATTTTCTATTACGTAATCGCCAAGACTCTCTTGTTATGAGCATAGAAACAACGAGATTATTTCATCAATTATCTTATAGCAGAAAAAGTAATCATCCAAGAAACTTAGATATACAAACATCGTACGAAATTGCTATTAATATAGATTGCTTTTTCCTAATAACTTTTACAGAAGAATGTTTAAAAATTGATCCTGTGATTGTTTTGAGCGTTTGATTCTAATGAAAGATTTTATGTGACAACAGAGTATGACGTATCTTCTATTATGTTTAAATTAGTCTACAATATCAGAGTAAGATAAAAAAATCGATATTTTATAGTAACTAAACAGAAATTAATCGTAATACACTAGGAAATTTAACTGATGAAATTCAAATTATACTATATAAATATATACTTTGCAAGTTAAATAAACCAATGATTAACTGTGTCTCAATCTGGTGTATTTTAAAAAATCATAAGATACACCAGATGAGTTACATCGAGAATGAACCAGAAATATTTTTGCCGTAATTCACTTGAATGACTTGAATTTTTAGTTAAGTGTAGAAGTTTTTTTCCGATACGATTTTAACATAAAAGAGTTATACTGTTAAGTAAGGGAAATAAATGTAATACATTTTATAGATTATTTTCATTTATTATTCAAGAGAATAATAAGATAAAATAAAAAAGCAGCTTATTGTATGATACTACATTCTCAAACCAGTCAATTTAAATGTTGAAAATTTGTACCCATACATAAAACCTGCATTTGCAATATTTTTAACATTAGAACTTCAACCTCCTTGCACAAACCTTGTGTTTTATGTTTGTAGTTTTGAAAATTTACTGTCTATACATTAGGAGAGTAGCTTTTATGTATAAATATTTTTTAACTTCTTCTTCTTCTTCTCTTAGATGACAACGTACCAAATACATATTCTTATAGTTATATTTGGTTCATGATGATTAACGGTAAAATATAAATAGTGTACACTAATAACACAACATGCATAATTTTTATCGACGATAATAAACTTTTCGTCATTGTATAGGATACAATCGTTAAATTTAAAACTCTGCATCTGTACACACAGCAAGAGAAATAGTTTTGATGATAGCAACATGTGAGTTCAGTACAATAGTACCACGAAAACTACTTTATTCGCCAAACTTGACAAATAAATGACAAAACTTTAATTTCATTGAAGATAATTTAAGTCAATGTAATCAGATACATTTTGAATGGCCTATAACAATTGCTTTAAATATGACGATGAAAGTAGATCATCTGTTAAAAATGAACTGATAAATAGAGTTCGACTAAAATTCGACAGTAATGCAAACTAAATGTCAATCAATATTTTTCATAGACAAGTAATAATAGCGTGGGATCGGATTTAATAAACTGCACAATCATCTCAGTTAACTTCATTGAGTATTTACCTCTAGTAATGTATGACAACGAGCACCTACAAGGCTTTTCTATGAATAAAACAGATGAATTCAACGAAAAAATACATTTTATGTGATGCTTCTTTCGACACTGCAGACAAGATAAATTTAAATCTTTTCAGCTAATGTTAATTATTTCAAAAATCTACTGTAAGCATATCTATATCAAAGGAAAATTCTAGAGAATATTTTTACAAATGGGGAATATTCTATGAAAATCGATTTAAATTATAGAAAAGTGATTTAATTTTTAGTTCGTTCGTACATTTTTGAGACAACAGATTAACAGCAATGATTATTGTGTTAAATTTTAATTACTTTTTAAATTTATCTTCAGTCAGCACAAATCAAATCTTACTTTAATAAAATATTTCTCTAGATTTATTTAAATAATCGTAGTGTATAAAAAATTAAGGCACCTTTATGTTAGTTTCAATAGGTCTTTCACCTGATGTGAAAGAAGGACGACGTCTAACAGCGAAAGAATAAGATTAATTTCCATGTAGACCAGTGGCGGAGCCAGAATTTTGGGCTCGGGGGCTGAGCCCCCGAAAAAAATTTTCGTGAATTGTTTGAGAATTTGAAAGCCATTTTGGATTTTTTTTGGGAATTTTGACAAATTTTCTGGGTTTTTTCCGATTTTGAAATATTTTTGAAGACTTAGTTTTTGTGAAGGTTTTTCTGAAATTTTTGAAGATTTTCTGGATTTTTTGGGAGATTTTGAAATTTTTTCTTGATTCTTGCGGGAGTTATTAAGTTTCATAGCGGGCAACACTGGCTAAAACATGAAATTGCAAACATTACTACATATTTATATAAAAAAATGCATTTTCTAAAATCTCGCTAGGGGGCTCAGCCCTCCCTGGTTCCGCCACTGATGTAGATAATTGGCTCAAAGTGAATAATGTTACCTTGATCACACTGATTACAAATATGCTGTTGTTAACATTCGATGATCTTTTAAAAAATCTCTCTACAATAGTACACATTGTTTTCTTTTAATTTTAAAATTTATCAAATAAAATGACTAAAACATTGTATCAAAAGACGATGCTTCAGATTTCGAATACATAAGAAAGTCTTTTTTTATGAAAATATATATTCTCTCATATGAAAAAAATTTCTAATTGCACAAAAGAAAATCTTAAATATTTTCAATTAAAAAACAGGAAAGAAAAGAACAGTAAAGATCACCATTTTAGATTTCGATTTTTTGAGTTTATTTGGAAAAAAAACACTGAATTTCTTGAATAATTTCCAGAACAATTTCATGCTTCTACGTAACAATTCATAGTCACGAATAGCATATGTTATTGATGAATGATTGCTTTTATTTCAATATGTAAATTAATCACAATCAATTAAACACGAGCCCATTGAAACTTCAACTTTAAGTAATGTCGATTCAATACGTTTACTTAAGTTTTCAAATCTATATGTTAGGGTTTTAATTTTCCTAATATCGATATTTGTTTTTATGTTGAGCATCGATGATATATTAAAAGAAGTGTCTTTCACAGTGTAAAGACAAGGAGGCTAAACGTTCATTTTGTATATTGTGACATTTTTTAGATTGTATTGCACGAAATCTAAATTCAATTAGAAAATTCTATAGTACTTACGTATCTAAATATTACGGCAAGATTTTCATCATGGGTTCAAAATGTTCGACGCTTCAAATAGGAGGTAAAGTTCATATATCGGGTAATGGTAGCTCACCTTTAATAATCAATGGTATCACTTACAATATATCAAGTCTACTTAATACAGTGGTCAGTATGCCTATGCGACGATATCGATCTGAACTAATATTGGTTCAGCTCATCTCTGTTTTCTTTGTCTTAATATCGGTATTGTTGGCTGTTCGATTTCTGATCTCTTGATTTCCTGTAGACAAGGGTAAGAAAATAAAATAAGAAAATATAAGTTCAACTTCTATCACAACTTTAGGGTTTCTAGCTACTCAACGAAAAGTTAGCAGATCTTACCAAACTACTTTGAGCCAATAATAATAATTGATGTATATTTTTGTTTAGCATGAAATTCAGCACAATACGGATATTTTGGAATATCAAAAACATTTTGAGGAGGTATTTTTATAATAATAATAATCAATGTCGAATAACTTCTATGCTACCAGTCTTAACACCGAAGGTGCAACTGCAAATGCTTATGACTTTTGTGTTGGCGATGGACTTGCATTAATAAAAAAAAAAGTGTTAAGCAACGTGAAGAATTTCAAAGCGCCTGAAACTTATGGTTTACCACTTAAAATCGATTTGAAAGTGGGTGCTAAGTATATGATGACAGTCAATTCTGATACGGAAGATGGATTAGTCAATGGTGCTTGTGGAAAATTAGTAATGATTGATTACGGAAAACTTCAAAAAACTAATGAAACAGTACCATGTAGAATATGGATTAAATTCAATGAAGAAAAAACTGGAAGAAAAGCTAGAGCCAATTTCCACAATGTAATGCGTAATAGAAATATTGACTCTAGTCTTACACCAATCGAACCAGTAATACGTCAAATAAATACGAAGTCAACAAACTTTAAAGTAGAACGGAAGCAGTTTCCAATAGTACCTTGTGAAGCTATGACCATATACAAAAGTCAAGGGGGTACTTACGAAAAAGTCGTTGTCAATCTGAAGAAGGGGACGACAAGATCTGAATTATATGTTGCTTGTAGTCGCTCAATAAAAGCAAGTGGTTTATATTTAATTGGTGACTTCGTTCCACCAAAGCCACCTGAACATAATGATTCAGTGGCGATGATGTTTAAAACCAGGAGGTCCGAAAGAATGATCAAATTTTCACTTGAATTTCCTGAAGAATCTCAAGGAGAAAGACTTTCTGTGATATTCCATAATGTGCAATCATTGAATAAAAACATTTTGGATGTCAAATCTGACAAAACATTTTTGTCTGCTTCCATGATAAATCTTGTTGAAACATGGATAAAACCTAGTGACTCTTTGGAAATTGAAGGTTTCAAGGTAGTTCACAGACGTGATTGTAATGACATACGAAAACCATTTGGTCAAATCACTTATTTAAAAAATCATTTGAAGTATGAAAGTATTGCCGAAAGATGTGAGTATTCAGGCAAAAACCATATTGAATACTCCTCAATAAAAATTGATGATATTTGCATCATTTCTGTTTACAATTCACCAAACTCGCCATTCGATGTCTTAAAACGACATATTAATGAAGTTATAACTGCTTCAAAACGATTTTGTGAAAATATAATTGTTGTTGGTGATTTCAACATAAATTTGAAGATTAAAATCAATTACAAATTTAATGAATATATGAAATCATTCGGACTAAGTTTGATTAATAAATTAAATAAAAATTCAACTAATGCTAAAACACAGATTGACTATTGCTTCGCTAATGTGAATGGCTGGAAATCTGATTATTTTGAAAGTCTAACAAGTTTTCATAAACCATTGCGGATAAGAAAACATGAAATTGACTCACAACTTTATGTTGATGAAAACGAACAGATTCGTACAGATATGCCTTTGAATCTTGAAGATCTTACCCTAGTCTCAATCCTGTTCATTCCTTGAGAAACCCTGGAAGGATCTTTCAGGATCCTGAATCTCCGGGATCCTGAATCTCCAGGATCTTGTCAAGTTTTATTCAGGATCCTGTTTCGAATCCTAGTAATTCTTGTTTCCAGGATTTTTCAAGGTGAAACAAGATCCTATACAGGATTTCTTCAGGTTCCTGCTCAGATATTTTTCTGAACTAAGAATGCAGGATCCTA